AACACAATTAAAAAACACCCCAACAGAGTAATACCCGAGTGTCGGACCCCAACAGGATAATGAGGTGACACTCGGGTTTACACGGGTTCACAGAGGCCAACGGCCCAGACTAAAAGCACAATCCTAAAATACAGAACAAACAAAAACACAGACCAAGTAATCTAAAACAAAAATATAAAGGAGGACACAGCTTCCCCCGTCAGATACATCTAGATTTACGGCAGACAAACCAACTCCAAATACAACTCCAGAGCACGGAAACGACCGCCCGCACTGTAGAAGGCCTAGCAAGACGGGTACCCGCACCCCAGTACCAACTAGAGAATTGGCTCGCACTCCAATCACGTGAATAAGCCAAACACGGCTCGGCTTCACCAAGTAGCCCTCCTGAAACATTGACCACACGACCCAGCCCGAATCGACGGAAAACAATCGGCAGCCGAGCACTAACCGGAAACATCATCCTTGCCCTAGCAGTAACGACGGCTCCCAACCGTGAAGTGAACCCCGAATCCAGCTCGCCGAGAATGAACCAAGGGTTCTCTCCGATCATGGACATAAAAGAAAACCGAGACAAAAGCAACAATAGCAAGAGCAAACTTCAATTAACACAACTGGGTGTCGAATTAGAAGAGGCCTCAGCCAATCGTAGCTTCGCCGGCGAAAAGGCGCAGGTCCTGACCGGCGGCGAGAAGGGCGAGCAGGGTGAAACCGCATCCCAGCGAAAGCCGAATGCAGTGGACCCAGCCTCGTCCATGACCCAGCACCACACCACGACCATCGTCGTCTGAAACTGGACTCCGGCGACCATCAATAGAGTAGGAGCACCTCCGATGTCCGACACGCAGCCCAGGACAGAGCTACAGCTGATGGGACGATGGCGGCACCACCATGGACGAGCGACGGTGGCCGTCCACCGACAGACCCGGACGGCCGGCAAGGGAGATTCTACCGGCGTAATTAGAAGCGACGGATCGGCTAAGGTTTAGAGAGAGAAAGGGGAAAGGGGAAAAGTTTAGAGAATAAATCTCGTGATATTTGACATGTATAGATCAATTTATCATAGTTTTTGTATCATAATAACACATAATTATATTGTGAAATGTCATATTTTCGTATAATATTTGTTGTTATTAGTGTGGTATGTGAATATCAAAAATGGCTTAAGAAATCAGAAGGAAAATGACGAAACGAACAAAGTCGAGGCACGTAAGGTACGCTCTCCTTAAGACGAAATAGCCCCGTATATTACCCACGGTTCTCGGCTAACGCCTCCAAGATACAACGACTTTGATTTGTGTATAGCGGTAACTCAAATACACAAACCTTCGACGAACAATACTCAAGTTTCGGAACTCTCAAGATAAGAAAGAACACAAAGAACACAAGATGAATATGAACTTTGTAAAAAGGATGCAAAGACTCTTGGAAAATTTCATGTACTAAATGATTTCATGTTTGTGGGTACTTATATATGTAGGGAAATACCTCCAAGAGGTTTAAGTGTCAAAAGACACCTTTTGGGACGTGCCCGTACGAGAACCGATGCATCTAGTGGCCAAAAGATACCTTATGGTCACCAAGGGTTGCAACCCTTTGATTTCCGCAACCAGTTGCGCGCCCGTGCGCCACGGGCTCGTACGAGCTCATACGGACTTGGAATCGAGTTCCGTTTTTTCCTACTTGTCCCCTACGAGCTCTTCTACAATACTAACATATATAATGCATAATTATGGCTCGTTTAGTTTGTCCAGACATTTGTCAAAACAGAATGTTTGTGAACCCTACAATCTTTGAGTTATTTAAACTCAATTAATTAACATGTAACACTTAGAATTAATTTCTCATTCACCTTAAAAAAGTTTTGAGAATTTCCTAAGTCTTCTATTTACGAAAAATAGAATCGTTAAATCAGTACAAAACTAATTTTTAATTCTTACATTTGTTAACATTCAAATATTAACCAATTTATCAAAACTTAAATAGGGAACAAATTACAAGTCCTCTTGTCATATGACATAGAAGGCTTGGAACGACTTGATCGAAGCCTCCTAAAATAGGTGAAGTCAAACAAATATAAGAGGGTGACCCTTTAAATTCAAAGGAATTCTACAAACATAAATACAAAATATTACACGAAATTTCCAAAATATATTCACTATGAAACTATAGTGAGATGGAGGATAAGGCTATATAGATAGAGCCGATTTGAGATTTACTAAATTTTCAATGTTGTTACTTGCATGTTTAATTTCTCGGTGATGAATTTTATTTGTAAATTAAAGTATAATAAAGTCATGTTTTGATTTTGCTTCCTCGATCCACGTAGCATGCAGTAAATGATGATACTAATATATAACTCAAATATTTTATTGTCTTTTGTAGAATTAAAATCATAGTTTTTAAACTCGGTCCGGTGATCAACCCAGACAGGTCCTCGGGTCAACGGGTCACCGGTTCAACCGTCGGGTCATCGAGTCAATTACTGAATCAGATAATTAATTTTAAAATTTTTAAAATTATATATAGAGTATTTTTGTTATATAAATATACATAAAAGTAACAAAATTAAATGTTTTGTGTATAAAATTTGTATATTAAAGTGTTAATAATATGTATCTCATGATAAATATTTATCATATAAACATATATACATATTTTTATTTTTAAAAAAACAAAAAAAATATAAAAAAATATAAAAAATATATATGGACCGGGTCAACCGGGTTGACCCGGCCGGGTCAATGCCCCGGGTCAGCCGGGTCTCTGCCGGGGCGGCCGGGTTTGACCGGGTCCTTGGTTGCCCGGTCCAATTACTCCACCCGGATCGGTTCCGGCTCCGGATCGACCCGCCGGGCCGGTCCGGATCTCAAAACACTGACTAAAACACATAAGATACTATATTTTTTTTTTTTCAAAATGAGTTATTGAAATATTTAAGGTGAAAATCATAGTGAAGTTTTTTTAATATGTTGGTATATATTTTTTTTCAACCCAAATATGATATTGAGCCAAAAAGTAGTTATGGGAGGATATACATCAAGATTAAGTATTAAAATATGATTTGTCAACATGCATATGATCATTTATTATACATAAAAATGAGTATTTTTGGTGTCCGCATGGTCCAAATTAAGAATATGTTCTTAAACCGAAGGCTATACTTTATCTGTACGTAGCTTATATATATTCGATACCTATTATAATCACATATCTATTTTGGAACAAATCATCACGGATAAAAAATTAAAAAAAAAAAAAAATNTTGATACAGTAAAAGGTAAAGAAATGGACCATTTCATTTCAATTATATATCTAAGATTTTTTTTTTTTCTTTTTTTTGTTCGCTGCACAGTACAAGTCGCTACACAATCTATTATGTGTATGAAAATTGCCCATATAGAAAATACTATAAATTAGGTATAGTTTGTACGTCAAAATTATTAGGATACAATCACTACAACAAAAAAGACTTCTAGCAACATAAATATGGTGACATTTTTTAATAAGTGTAATTAAATTGATGTGTTTGTGACGCTTTTTAAAAAGCGTTACAAAAATAAACATATAACAACATTTTTTTAAAAAATGTAATCAAATCATGTCACTTTTTAAGAAGTGTCACTATGTTAATCGGTATTGGGACATTTATTTAAAAATGTAATGAAATTATGACGTTTTATACAAAAGTGTCGTCGTGTTTAGTTAATTATTTGGCGACACATTTTGAAAACCGTATTAAAATAATAACACATCTTTAGAAAATGTCACAATTTTTACTAGTATGACAACATTTACATCAAAGTTAATTTAGGTCTATAAGATAAACTTAATATACAATTATTACTGTATTTATAAAAAAAAAAACAAGATATATAACTGATAACAATATAGTCACAACAACAATTGAGTTTTAAGAATTTTAATTTAATATTGAATCCATGAAATTCTTAAGGAAAAGAGCCTTGAATTTGATACAATCTCCATGAGTGTTTTTCCAGCTATTAAGATTTGTAGGAGTCCATCATCAATGGAATTTAGTGGACCTGTTATGGGGATATTGAGATTTTATAGAATTTACAGCATTTTCAATTAAATATAACCATTTCTTATAGAACCATAATATTTTTAAATTAAGAATGCTGAATATATATAATTTTGAAATTCAACTAAAAAATCCATAGAGGAGATGCAATGGGCTTAATATGTTGACTATTAACAGTTCAAATTACTTGAAGCCGATGTTTGATAAAACTAATAAGTTAACAGATGGTTAATAAAGTAGTAGTTTTATCAAACACATTTATATGATAAATGTGTTGAATAAAATTAGCTGATAAGTTAAATGAAACAAAAATTTCAACTAGCTTATTTGCAAAACTACTCAAATAAACTTATGAGATAAACAAAAAAACTCGTCTTACCAAACGAAACTTATTTTAAATACAAAAAATTTATAAACTAACCAAATAAGCTAGCTTTACCAAACATAAC